TCAGCGGTTAGAGCATCAGCCCATATACTGGAGAGTCCCAGGTTCGGTTCCTGCTAAGGGCACATACCTCAGTTGCAGTTTGTCCCCGGGTCGTGTGGGTGGCAACCACTCAATGTGTCTCTGTCACATTGATGTTTCTCTCTCTCCCTCCCTTTCTCCCTCCTGCTCTATCTAAAACAAAACAAAACAAAACAAGACATTGAAATAGTTGACAAAATTAGAATGTGGACTACAGATTAGAGTATCATATTATTGTTAAATTTCTCATATTTTATAAATGTGCTATGGTTACAGAAATATATGCTTGGGTATTAATGTATAAAGGGGCATGCAACCTATTCTCAAATAGTTCAGGGGAAACAAATAAATGCATAATCAAAAATTCAGAAAAATGTTAAGTTCTCTGTATTGTTTTTGCAACTTTTCTATAAGCTTGAAATTATTTTCAATTAGTTTCGAAGGCCATCTAATAAAATAGATTAAAAACAATTTTTGTGAGCTTTTCCCCAAAAACAGTATCAGTTTAAATCCCTTTTCCCTATAGACTACCTCATTCAAAATCCTAAATTGGATCAGGACACAAATATCAGATTTCAACTATTTGTTTAAATCTGTAAGGACTTTTGAAAGAAATCAGTGGTACATGTTCTATATTAAAACGAAAAGGATTTTATACTAATTTTGATGAGTTGGGGGAATTTAAATTGCTAACAATTACACTTCTGTGAAACTTTCTGTAGAAAAAGTTGCACAATGTGCAAGGTATACTATAATATACAAGAATGTTTAATACATACCATAATAGCAAAAAGTGATAAAAAATATAAAAATCTAACACTAGAAGAATTACATCTACACTATAGAATATAACAGTTTTTTTTAAAAGAATGAAGTATATCATAAATACAAAAATATGGATATACTACATGATATAATACAGACTGGAAACAAAAAGTTTCTAACTTATCTATTTGTAAGAAAAGTCTGAATTGTACTATGTGTTTATGTATGTGCCCAGAAACAAAGGCTTGAAAGGATACACCAGAAATAGTTATCAGCCATTGCCCTTGAGAGAGAGAGTAGGGGGAAGGCACTACTATACTGTTTTACTCTTTGAATTATTTTTCCTAAAAGATCATATAATGCTTTTACAATTAAGAAAGTAAGACTTTGTATTCTTAGAAATTATGATTTCAATGTACTTTGATGATTTCAATGATTTCAATGAAGAACATAAAATATAACTGATATCAGAACTATAACACATTCTTGACACTTAACTAAAACGATCTAATTTTCTGTTCAGGTACTGTTAATGCTATTAATTCCATGTTTTTAATTTTTAATTTAACAAAAATAATGTCAATGGTAAGAAACATCCAAACCTGTAGAGAACTTTGTAAGTGTTTATTTCAGCCAAAACTGACAATTGCTGGGAAGCAAGATCTCAAATGTTGTGCAGAATGGCAGTTTGTAGTTTTTTTTATGCATTTGAAATTAAAGATTACATAAAAGTGGAAGAAACCAAGAGAAATGAATTACAGGACAGTCAACAAGACTATGTATTCTCTATAGGATGGTTATTTCAAAAATGTGTTCTTTTCAGATGCAATAAACAATGGAGTTAATCTTAGATGCAAACAAAAAATGGACAGGGCTTGCTTAAGGCAAAGATAAATCCTTACTAAAGTTATATACCTACCACGACCTGCCGAATTAGAAATTTATGATCAGATCACCCTGTGAGGTTACTTTTTGAATCCCTTTTTCATCCACACCAACAACTCCTTTTTGGAAACAGGTAAGATATCAATCCTAAATTGAAAAACCCTGGTTACTTAATGACAGTAACAAAAACTTTAGAAAATAAATATCCACACAATGTTTTTAAGAAAGTTTATTCTGCCCTGGCCAGTTTTGCTCAGCGGTTAGAGTGTTGGCCTGCGGTCTGGAGAGACCAGGGTTCAGTTCCCGCTAAGGACATGTACCTCCATTGCAGTTTGTCCCCGGTCCGGGGTTGGGTCACGTGGGTGGCAGCCACTCGATGTGTCCCTTTCACCTCGATGTTTCTCTCTCTCTCCCACTCTACCTGAACAAAAAATGGAAAAAAATATCCTCGGGTGAGGATAAAAAAAAAAGTTCATTCTGAGAATTCCAGTTGACATCCAAACCAAACTATGATCTACATCAGGTACTTTAGAACTATAAATGGTTTACTATAGTGAAGAAACACAAATTCTTGAACTCTGAATTATACTGACCACTTGGTTATGCAGTTTATGAATAGGGAAGATTATCATCATACAGTGTCCTTTCACTAACAATATAAGCAAGATTGTACAAATAGCCCTGGGCCGGTTTTGCTCAGTGATTAGAGCATCGGCCAGCAGACTGAAGGATCTTGGGTTTGATCCCCAGCCCCAGTTGGGGTCATGCAGGAGGCAACCAATTGATTTGTCTCTCTGACATCGATATTCTCTCTCTCCCTTCTTTCCACTCTCTCTAAAAATCAATGGAAAAAATATCCTCAGGTAAGGATTAAAAATAAATAAAATTGTGTAAATAACTGAGAATTAAATTCATCAAATATTTATTAAATTGCTAGCACAGTTATGTTTGACGCATTGTGCACTGGTGATGCAAAGTAAGCCCCTAGTCTTACAAAAAAGTCTTAGAGCCCTGGCCAGTTTGGCTCAGTGGTTAGAGCATTGGCCTGCAGTCCAGAGAGACCAGGGTTCGATTCCCGCTAAGGACATGTACCTCGGTTGCAGTTTGTCCCTGGCCCTGGTTGGGTTGTGCGGGTGGCAACCACTCGATGTGTCCCTTTCATGTGGATGTTTCTTTCTCTCTCTCTCTCTCTCTCTCTCTCCCCCTCCCACTCTACCTGAACAAAAAAATGGAAAAAACAAAAAAATGGAAAAATGTTCTCGGGTAAGGATAAAAAAAAAAGTCTTACAAAATTGAAAAAAAAAGTTTATTTTAAATTGAATGCAATTAACTAAGGATTCCTTCCTACAGGGGTGGGGAACATCCAGATACAGCCCCAAAAATCAATACCAGCTAACTTCATAGGCCTCACCAAATTAGCCTGACCAAATATAGCAGGCTAGTATCAAAGTTGATAATTTTGTATGGTCCTCAAATGATGTTATAAATATTCAAATGGCACTTGGCAGAAAAAAGGTTCCCCACCCCTGCTAGAATCTAAACTAGTCTCTTAATTAGGTAATTTTGGATGATAAATTATTTTAGCCACTGTTTGCAATGTAGTTTTAAGTCACATTCATGGTACATTTGCAAGGAGTCAGAGATAACTCTCTGAATAGGCTCACTATTACATACTTTGATAAGCAGTGGTTACACTCTTAGTGACAATCATCGAGACTGTGCTTATGTTGGAATTTTTTTTTTTTTTCGCTTTTTTATCTTTCTTGGCACAGAAGTTGATCTCTAGTGACCTTTAGTAAACATTTATTTATTCAGGCCTCTAGAACAGTATTAGGAATACTGTCATTATGATTCATCTACATAAATAAATAGGTACACTCATAAATCAATTAACAGTACTTAATTCCTTAAGTTCTCTCAAATTCTCATTACCTGAAGTGACACAAGAGAGAATGTTGTTTCCTTACACCTATACTAAACACCTTAAGAACAATACTATTTCCTTATCAGGTGTATTCAAGAAACCCTCAATGTTCACTCTTACACCCCCCTTCTGGAGTTTAACTGAGCCTGATGTACAAGGCTGCGGGGGATCAAACAGATTTGGTCTCTAACCTCCAGGAACTCACACTTTAGTGGGGAGAAAGGCACACAAACTACAGGACAACATCATTAATGCCCAACTTGCAACACAAGAAAAGTAGGTAAAGATAAAAGTACTCAATCCATTTTCAAAAATCTTTGGTTTGAGTTCTCTTCAAGCACAATACACAGCGGGGGAAAAAAACGTTCCCTGAGGCAGGGCCCTTGGTTTCCAGATTCTAACCTAGTAGCTATGTGACTTTAGGCTTGCCACTTAACCAGACCTGGCCTCAGTTATTTAGTCTAAAAATGTCAGTATTATCGAACCAGCCTAAGCCCAAATCATCTTTCCAGCATAAACCACATGTTCTCTCGTGGCTTCCAGGTCTAAGATCTGCTTTACTCACACACTCATCCCTCGGACTCCGCAAGCAATCGTGGCGCCGGGAGCCAGCGTGAGTAAGCTAGGTGAGTTCCAGTCCCTAAACTGAACTTTACACCATCAAGGTAACAAACGGAAATAGGCCCTGTGTTATGCGTGAACCGTGCGAGCTCAAAGTATTACACAGACCATAATACAGTCTCACACACAGATAAGCAAGAACAACTGGATGTCTGATTTATGTACCATTCTAGGACAACAGCAGTGCGTTGTTGCGTACCAAGGACCCGAGTTTGTGCCCCGGGAACCACGCCTCCCGGAGAAATCCACCAGACACCAGAAAAACCTCCCAAGGGGCAGGGAAGGATCCGGGAGAAGGTAAGACAAGCTCTCTTCTCAAAAACAATAACAAAAACAAAAACAAACAAACAAACAAAACCCCGCCTGTGTTTTCTCCTCCCCTCCAGCTATGCACTGTAAGAGCACCAGATCAGCATCATCTGCATTTCATTCCTCCGCTTTTGCAATAGCTACCCACTTATGATAAACAGACCTCGTGCTCTGGGGAGAGCCGACTTCCCCGTCCAGTGAAATTGAAGTTCCTTCTTTTCTCTACCAACGCCGCTTCCAATCAACACCCACCCTCCCCGGGGAGGAGACCGGGCACTCCTCTCCCCGCAACCTCCAGCTGCAAGCCTGACGCCCCACACCCTAGAATCGCCCCACTTTTCCAGACGCGGCTGCGAGGGTCGCGAGCCCCTAGGGGGGAGCGGAAGAGGCCCGTGCGAAGCCCAGAGGGGCGTCCCCCGCCCGCCTGGGGCTCACGGAGACCAAACCCAGCGGCGAGCCCCGCGCCACCCCCACTTACCCACTTTGTCCTTCCCGTACATGTGCCCGGCCACCTGATGCGAGAGGGGCACGCAGCCGTTGAGGAAGCGGAGCCTGCCGCCCGCCGGTTTCGGGGTGCTCTCGGAGATGGCCTCGCTCGCCGGTGGGGTCCGCTTATCTGGGGGGCCAGGCGCCTCGAGCCGGAGCGGGGAGGGCGGCTCGGTTGCCATAACGGAAAGCTGAAGCGGTAGCGGCGGCGAGGACAGAAAAAAAATTGGGCGGAGGGAGAGGGCGCTGGAGAACCCGGGGGTCGCTCAGGCTCGGCCGCGAGGAGGCCCGGGGGTTCCCGCGGCTGGTGCCCGCTGAGGCCCGGGGAGGGGGCCCATGACGCCGCGGAGGCGCGGGCGCTGCCCTACCCAACCGCCGGCGGTGCACGGCTCCCGGCTCCCGCTGCTCTGCCGCCGCGGTCGCCAACCCCGGCGCAGCCCCAGAGACGGAACCAAGCGGAGGAGCGGCGGCGGCGGCACCCCGCGCTCCTTGGGGCCCTGACGGCGACGGCGGCCCCACCTCCCGCGCCCCCGCCCCCGCCCCCGCCCCTCCCCCTCCCGCCGTCCTCCAGTCCCCTCAGCTGCCGCGAGCGCGTCAGCGCCGCCAGCACCGCCGCCGCCGCCGCGAGCTTCCGACTGCGCGACCCGCGGCCGCCGCCGCTACTGAGCATGCCCAGAGGCCGCCCGACGGGACCCCCTAGGGCGGGGCGGGCACCGGGCGTGCTGACGGCGACCTGGATGGGGCGAGCACACTCGCGGTCCGTCACCGGCCAACCCCCGGGTCAGCGTAAGAGGCCAGCAGTGCCGTTGTGCTTTCATTCATTCAGCGCTACCGGGAGCTGGGGGCTCCCAGTTGTGAGGAGCGGCCAGTCACGTGTTGGGAGAGTTAGGGGGCAGCTGCAGCGCCAAGGGAGGCTTGGGAGACTACCCCTTCACTGCAGTCAGCTCCCTCCAGCTCCCACCCCACGCAGAAACGACAGACGTGAAACCAGGCAGCTTCTCAGAAGACGCACCTTCAAAACACCCTTCCAGTTCACCCCAGCCCCTCTCCCCAGATTGGTGCCCCTAAACGGCTCATATAAAAATTAAAAAAAAATTGGAACCGACACTGATTTCAGACTCTAAAAGATAGAGAATAATCTTAATTCTTTCTAAGTGAGCACCTTTTTTGAAGAAATAAGCCTTTTTCTCTCTCTCTCTCCCACTCGACCCCTTAGCGCTGGTTCCAAGGTTCTCAACAGATGACTAACAGGGGCAAAGGCAGGAGAAAGGGGTGTACAGTGGGAGCAAGGAGAGATTCTGGAATGGAACTCTACACTTCATTTGTGTCTGCCATTGGTATTTTATAAGAAAGCTGGACCTGGCCTTGCAGGTACAGAACTGGACAAGAAATTTTTAGGTAAGAACTTAGATATCTTATTATGGCAACTGTCTTCCTATCACCTGCCCATATCACCTCCAGAAACCCACGCACCTGGGAGAGACGTAAAATCTGGCCTGGATTCCTTATTCCCAAGGCTCTGGCTCCGGGCTCCATGACCCCGCCCCTGAAGATTGCGCAAACTCAGTTGCTAACACTCTAGGTCTCTTCCTCCTCCCACCTCCTGCAGCTGTCAAAATCTGGACTATAGACTTCCTTGAGGCCCAGGACGCAGCTCTGCGCATGCTCAGCATCAGCTAGGGTGGATAATACGCACGTGCTTACGGACTGCCGCGGCGCCTGCGCCGTAGCTGCCTGGAGTCGGTGCCCTTAAGACGCCTTTCGCACCTAGACTCTGTCTGTCCGCACAAGCCCGTTTGTGTTCAGGGTCCTGTGCACACGCCTTGCAAGTGACGGCGCCATGAGTCTGAATTCCAACATACGAGGTGAAGTGGGGCCTGGGAGCGGGTGAGGCTGGCGGCCTGCGCACCAGTTGCAGCTTCGTCAGCACCTCTCCTGGCTGTTACGGCTGCTCTGCGCATCCGCCGGTCCTGTAACCTTGAGATGCAGAAGGGCACGCTCTTGGCCGACCTGCGGGCTCCCTGGGCCGAACGGGGAAAGTGGTATGGATTAGTGGTATCCCGGGGCATAATTGGCGTGGGGGCCATGCCGGCATCTACCCAGGTCTTGGTCAGATTTCCGCTAACTAGACAAACCCTAAAACCTAATGATCCCGCTGCTAGCTTTTCTTGTTCTCCTTTGAAACCCCTCCGTGCACTGGTCATAGGGCTTGGAAAAAGGGAAAGGCGGGGGAGGGAATAAAACCTGTTCCCCCTTCTCACGTTTAAATCACCGTGAGTCAAAACGTGTATTCCCTGCAACCCTGAAGGGATGCATGACTAATTACATCTTGGTTTTGCACTTTTTTTTTTTTTTTTAAGGGAAGAAACCCAATCCAAGGTCTTAAATTTTACCAGTTTTTCATTATGCCTCTGGCACCTGACGCTTCGTGGCGGTAGTCCAGGAGAGAGGATTGAAAGCCTAGCTCATTGAGCCTTCAGTATTTTCAGCCTTGCTTCCCTTGTGCTAGGACCTAGCGTTTGGAAGCGTCACTTCACAGAAGGTACAATTAAAATTAAGAGACTTTCTAGAAGTCAATTAATGTGAACTCCATTACATAGCAATTCCTGGTAGTGGTATAATTATTGCTATAGTACTGTGCACCAGCTATGTGATACATGTGATCTCTCTGCCCAGTAGTATAAAATACCATACCTCAAGGTTTGGTTACCTATAACAATAGTTAAGTAAAGGTAAAGAGAGTATCCATAGTTAATTAAAAATAGCCCCATTGATTTATTTAGTAAATATTGATCATCCAGAGTGCCATAATCTGTAAAAGGTTCCTACTAATTTGAGCCCTAATTTTGTAATAGATTCTATACATTGGAGAATTCTACTTCTCTTGTCAAAAGTTACTGGTAGAGTGAGGGTGACAACCCATAACATCTTTAAGTTACTAATGAGGTATATAGGAGGTAATTATTTACAAAAATTAGTTCAAAGGCTACTCATCTTGAGTCTCAAATAATGACACCTTGGTGCATTTAAAATATGGAATGATTTTTGTGGGTTTTTTTGTTTTTAAAAAAAAAACAAACTTCTGTTTTCTCAGGAATAAGACCATTGTATAAAATAAGATATTCATGTGACTTGAGCCACTGGTAATTTTTTAGGAAGACAGTTTGCACTTGTGTGATATGGGTGGAAAGATTCCAAAATGTTTTTAAAATGTGGAATCATTTTGTGTCAATGGGCACTAAACTCTATTTAGGTAGCATACTATTGAAATGTGAAATAGGCGAACCCTAGGGCTTCTTAATATGACGTACAGGCTAGTCTTTCTTTCAAATAAGACAGATTTGTTTTTTGGTTTTTTAATGTAATCGTAGGGGAATCTAAAGGTGACTTTCCCATTAGTTTGTCATTTTCTAAGGGATAGGAAATTGCTTGGTGAAGAGGGTTATAAGCTTAAACTTGAAGTACTCGGCTTTGTTATGAAAAAGTAGCTTCTTTTTTATCTCACTTAAAAGTGTAAAGATTGTTGTGAAGACTATGAGGAAAGGACCAAAGCCTTTGTAAAATTTTCTACCAGCACCTTCTTTCTCAAATATAGTTGTGTGACAAGGTAGGGACAGAATGTTTAGGAACCCACCTTGTAATGATTAGAGCGCAAATTGTTCTCTCGATTTTTAAATCAAACCTTTTAGTTTTTACAGCTTGAAAATCATTTTAGATCATTTGATTTTGTGGAAGGCAACCATATCTCTTCTTAATTAAGTTAATAATTATAAAGGGCTTATAATAGTATTGACAATGGTAACTACTATATAACCATATGTTAGATAAAATAAAAAGGTGTATGTGTACATACAGAATTCTTGTTTATATGCAGAAGAAAAATGATGGATGGGTCATAAATAAAATTAATGAGGATCAGGCCAGGACATGAATCTGGGAAAAGTAATGAGGATGAGAGAGACTGGAATTGATATCCAAAGATCTATGATACCAAATTTCTGTTCCTTATTAAGGTATAATTGACATACTTATGCCAAACTCATTTTTAATTAGATACCAAATATTTTATTGGAGTTTATTATAGTTTCTAATATTAAGCAGCTTTTACTACTATGGAGTCGCTAATGGCTCCTCCTCATACCTGATAGAAGACCTTTAGGAAGTTTACTAAACATTTTGCTCCTTGATACCTCCAAAACTCATTGAATCTGCTTTTATCCTTAATCCCTTCCTTTTATTTGCATAGAAGGATTAATGGAGGTCATTCTCCAAGACCTCCAGATGCCATGTTCTCCTGCTTCCTCAAACTGTTGCCTCACTAATGATACCTATTGCTCCAAGTCCTCTCACCGACTGAGGTTTTCTTCTCTTCAGCCCAAAGTAACTCATAATTCACCTTCATCTTTAAAAAGAAAAAGAAAAAAGCCAATTTAACTAAATATTTTTAAAGGTCTTCCTTAATCTGCCAACCCCCCAATCACTTTTTTTTTTTCATACTTTGCTTTGTCCTCAGATTACAAAATAGGTGTTCATCTATCCAACTTGCTGTTTGTTATTCACCCCAAACCTTGAACACTTCAATATATGTAACCGAAGCTAAATTTCATAAATTCTTATTCTCTGACTTTTGTATCCTGGTCTGTTTTATTAAAACTAATTCATTTGGGTTCAATAAATTCATTGAGTCATTTAATGTAACTAAGGTTTGGTTATTTTTTAGAAAGAATGTGCAGATCTGACTGAGAATAAAGAAATTCCTTTGGGTTATAAAATAAATAATGGTGGGGGGTTGTGGAATATAGAGGAAACGAGATTGGTGGTGAATTGATAGTTCTTGGAGCTGAGTATGAGAGTTCATTAGAGTATTTCCTGTGTATATCTGAAATGTTTCATAATGTTTTTATTTTTAATCTCAGGAAATATTTAAATTTCACACTTTGATACAATAGGTTATGATGAGGCCAAAATAAGTCATTTGGTGTAAGAGCAATGTGATAGTCTGATGAGCAGATGGAGCTGTAAATTCAAATTAGTACTCTCTCATTTCTTTTTACTCAGTTTATATTGAACACCACCTGTATGCCAGGCTGTGAGAGAAGACATTACCAAGCACAGCCTACCTATCTGGGAGGGGGGAGGGAGGACCTAAGGGAGGGAAAGATTTAAACACAGTTCCCCTCCCCCTCTCCAGAGGTGAAAGGAACATTCTGATTCTGTGGCAGTTGACACTGGGCTGGAGAGGACAGTTTGGGGCAGAAAGGGGGCTAAAGGAAATGGAGGGTGAGGTTTCTGT